CTTCAACGGGATTCGAACCCGTGACCTCCGCGATACTGGTGCGATGCTCTACCAACTGAGCTATGAAGCCACACATTGGGAGCGAGGTCAATTAATTCACTTTCAGTTTTCATGTTGTTGTATTTTTAGGACTCTTGTTACGAAGTTCGGGACAAGTTTACAAAAAAGCTTCACAAAGCTGAAGATTTACTGAAACTTCCCTTGGAATATCTGGGGATATTTGCACTGGCAGCACCAGAACCTGTCAAGGAAAGAAAGAACCAGGTAAAGAACAAGATTCACATCCAAATTCTCATTACAGATTTTCATACATGTTCTGTAATGAATCTTGGGGAAATCTGGGTTTTCATCAAGACTTGAGTTTTTCAGAGGATCAAACACTTATTTCTTTGTTGAAAATTGTTTTAAAAAGTAGGGAGAAGTTAGCAATTAGCTACTACTGGGAATTGGAAATTTGCTGCAAGTGACACTGTGTATGCCTTTAATTCTGGAGAATGATCCAAAACAAATATCTCCTAAGATTTTGCTCCGTTAAAGAGCCATGACATTGTAAAAATAACTTATGTATCATGACACAAGCATTATCGTTCCCAGAGTTTTCGTTCCTCTTGACTAGCAGTCGGGAAGTGGGTGGAAAGATTCAATTAGATGTCTGAAAATATCAATCTTCCCGGTTGAATTGCGCATGCCAGGCTGACAAAACGGGACTCAATCGAGTCCTTGATGTTTTACTTCCGACCACTTTTATTGTTTTTAATACTGAACAAAATCGATGATCCTGTGACGGAACTCTCGAGAGTCGCTTGTTCCGTCAAGCTTTAGCCTGCGAACAGGCTCCCGGCGAGGAACGAAAAAAATTTCGGCGAGCGCGAAACAGAAGAATTCGGAGAGCAAAGCGATCAGGGCGGGGATCCTCGCTTCGTTCGGGCTCACCGGGAGCCTGTTCGCAGGCCAGTCAAGCTTGCGCAGTTTAAGTAGCAAGGACTCGAGGTACGAGGAAATACCTTCAGAAGGATGGTGTTGCTTTTATGAAGTTATATTTGGTAGTTTTGTTGTTGTTGTTGTTGTTGTTGTTATTATTGTTCTGTTTAATCTCTGTTACTGTCGTCGTACTTTCAAACAGAATCTTTACACCGTTTGTGATCTGGCTCTGGGACTCCTCACAAACAAGGTACTGATTATTACACTTTGTACTGGCAAGTCAGTGTCCTTATACCATTTAATTGACTGTCACGCAGTACTCTGTTCAATGTTGTGGTCCGTTGCGTGACAAGCTATGACAAAAATTTGGTTCATTCCTGTTGCTGTGGTAATTCATTGTGACATTTTCACTTATCTTTAACATTTCAACTCCTGTAGGTCCATAACTTCGTGTTAAAAGAATTTCCAGGCAACCCTGTTTTACCTAAAAGGTTCTTTGTTCCTTCAGAGGTGAGAATTTGTGGAACTTTGGTGTTCTTTTCTGTTGCTGTAACAACTTTGTTTTAACATCCAATTTTTTGCAGCAACATAATTGAACATTTTAGAAGGGCATCATTTCACGACACTTGATATTGCGATTTTGTAACATTTGTTGTCGCCAAAAGATCATCTAGTAAGATATGCGTGCATGAAAAGTCCTTTGCAGTGATATTTATTTGACAAAAAGGAACAAACTCTTTGAGTGGAATGTTAGTGCTTACAGTGCTACGCGCCTTAACGTTGCCACCTATGAAAGTTTTTGATTAATTTTTGACAAGTCTTTGACATCTTTTTGACAACTTCTGATGGCTTCCATTTCAAATGGCCAATCAAACTGCGACAACTCTCCGCTGGTTTCAAACGTCCGCAGGTTGTGACTTTTGAAATTCTCACGAGTGTGAATGATGAATTAAACACTTTAACATCTCCGCCCTCGACAGTTCCCATGTTTTGATTGGCCGGTTCAAACAGAAGTCAGCAAAAAGTTTTCAGAAAGTTTTAAAAGCTGTCAAAATTGAATCAAAAACTATCTCATGTATCAACGGTATGGTGAGAAGCACTGTAACCAGTCCACTTCAAACGATCAACATTTCATTTCTCCTCACAACATCCAAACCATATCAAGCGGACAGGTGAGGAGAATAACGAAACTGATCATCAACTGGCCTGGAGATATTGTTTCAAAGTACGAAGCAATTGCCAGCAAAAAACAAAAAAACATTAATCGAACTTTGACAAAAACAGTTGCGTTGTACATTATTGAAAATCGCTTTCATTTCACTTATTAATTTTTTTTACTTTCATGAAATTGCTTTGATGCTTTCTCTCACCTCTAAGAGTGCACAGACTCTGAGAAGGTCTTCTTATGTCCTTCAAGTGTTAAAGTATCGTCTAATTGTAATTTCTAGGTAGGTAGTCCTAACACCAAGAGTTATCTGCCAAAGGGATTTCAGTTTACCTCTTCAAAGGTAAGACCTGTGAAAACTTATAACCGGGTTTCATAATTAACTTTTGAGAGAAGGGAAGCCTGGGGCAAGTTTACCGGCCGCGTCTATGCTGTAGAACTCTGTGGGAACGCTTTGAGACTAAGAACTCAAGAAAATGTGCTCGATTTACCATTTTTCAGTCCCTCCCACCTGAACCTAATAGGGCCAATCTGTCTGGCCCTTCCCTTTGCCCCATAGTTGTTTTTCTTTCGTCTTCACTCTGCTGTACCTTGTAGTTTATTGTGATTTGTATTTTAGGGACCAAGGAAAGGAGGAGCGGCAGAATCGAAGTCAACACCTTCGAAGACTTCGTCAAGAACGTCTGCAAAGAGTGATAAGAAAACTCAAGGAAAGACACAAAACAGGTAAGGGGAACTAGGAAACTGGTGTTATTGTGGCATTCAACTGGTACGAGCTGTTTCATTCTTTCAGGACACCGGTAAACAATGTTTGTTGAAATATCTCTCTTGCCAAGAGTAGACTTACAGTATAAGAGGAAGTTGGTTTCTTCCTTGTGTACAAACTGATATTTGTTTTTGATTAGATTAAAAATCTGCTGTAATATGGGCTAATCATTACACCAAAATAGCCAAAAATGCTGCTTCACTAGCCCACATGCAAGACAAGTTGCTCTCTCAGAGTACTTGATGACCTCTCCACCCAGGATTATATATGATTGCCTTTGAATTGTTTGAGCAATCTGGCAAATAGCCTCCTACCGTATGCAGACGGTGTTTGGGATCGTCACGTAATCGTCCTCCCCAATCTTCGTGTGGAGGGAACGCGTGACGAGCCCTAAGAGCGTCTGCTTGGGAGGCTACGTAGGGGGGTTACCTGGCAAAATACTTGGAGTAAGATGCAGTGGGCTGACATCCCATCCTGCAAGGGGGAGGGGTGTGTTAACATTGCTGATGTTTTATGTTCCAAAAACTGGAAATAAGCTGGGGCGATAACCTATTAATTGTTAAGCCATAGAGCTTTTAACATCTTTAGTTACTACTACGAGTCTACATACGGAAATGTAAGTTGCTTGTGTTTAAGTTACGTGTGCGTAGCAAGGTCTTGCTATGTTTCTTAGAAAAACTAGATTTGTTGCTATCGTTGTTCTTTTTTGGAAGCTCAAAAACTGCTAAGAATGCTTTCAAGGACAAAGTAAAAGAAATCCAAGCAGAAATGGACGAATCGTCCTCCGAGACTGCAGAAAGTGGGTTTGCTAGTCCGGCTGATGAGCAGCCATCTCCAAGGTGAGAAGAACGAGCATGCACTTATTGTACAGTCAGGTTAGGTTACCGCAACTGTAGTAGACAACTTTGTCACTCTGTACAGACTAGCTCAAAACAACAGCTCGCCTAGCATGAATAAAGAGAAAAGAGGGCAGGCTATTACAATTCAGGAGAACGTGGATACGCGTGTTCACAACTGTCGAACCTTCACTAACAGCGACCACTTTTTTGGTCCCGGCGGACGGTCCATACATTCACTCTTATTTTAATCTACCACGGCCACCTCTCCACAACGGCAAGAGCCACTAGAAGTCGTCCCAACTGCTGAAATAGCCTCTCGAAAGCGGCCAGGTAATCAACGACTGACGAGTGGTGTATACAAAACCCCATGTTTTGTTGTTAAGGGTCACGAAACATGATCCATACCGCGCGTCGTTGGTCTTTGTGTCCGTTTGGTTTTTTATTATTGATATATTTTCATTGCGTTACGTATTGATATGCCCCAGTAAGCATTTTTTAACGGTAATAGTGTTGCAGTCCCGAAAAAACAACCGTGTTATATTACATCCCTACCTCGTGATAACGACCACGTCTCTATAACGGCCACCTCCTTCTGTCCTCAAGTTGGTCGTTGAGGGGTAGTTTGACTGTACACATTAACGTTTCACACACGTAACTAATGTTACTAACTTAGTTCATTCAGAGGGTTACTTTTACCGCTTTTCTTTAGAAAAAGAGGGAGACCCCCTNGACCTGCCATTGTGCGAGATTTTGTAGTCAAAGAACTACTGATGAAGGACAGGGTAAGTCAGCACATCAACATTGATGTCTTGATATTCAAGTAGTTGCAGTGAAGAACAGGCTTGCCACAGGTCAGGAAATGGTCAGGAAACAAAATTCTTCAAGGTCAGGGAAAGGTCAATGAATTTTGCTTTGAGTCAGGGCAAATTGACATTTTGAATTAAAGTCAGGGAAAATTGAAATTACATCACCATTAATTTAAATACCATTGAAGGTCGCAAGAAACATTTCAAGTACTAGTCATTGTGATTTCCTTAAAGGGAAATTTATTGAAAACGTATCAGTCTCCTAAATATATGGGTGGGAAGGATAGCTGTAAGGGGAGGCTGGAGGCCGCGACTACATTTTAGAGATTTTTGTAGTTATTTGGTCAGTCAAATGCTATTTTTATTATTCTTTTTTATTTTAAAACTAATGCCTGTGGCAATCATGAAGAATAAATACTTCATCACTGGCAACTTTGATTTCCATCACCAAACAATCCTTAAGGGCTTTGAAAAAACTTTTGAAGATTTCTTTGTCCGCTTGTAAGTCTACTACACCAACTTAGGAAACCAGGTGTACATATTTCCCTTAGATGAAAATTTTATTTATCATTATAACTTCTCTGCTTGACAATAGAGTAATACTGAAATGAGAAGCTAGGTAACCTGTTGTCGACTTGTTTTCGTCTGGGATAGGGAGAGGCAGTCAGTTCTGATGAAAGTGAAAGTGCGTGATGTGAAGACAGAGATGTTACCCAAGAAACACAGGCAAAGGTGAGCATGGAAGATATGATTCTAGGGCTGTCGTTAAGTTTTAAGTCACCCATTGCCTTGGTCTTCACACCCGTAACAAACTTGTTACTCTGTGCGTTTTCGAATTGTATCAACAACTGGCAAGTTCACCTGTAACATCAAGGTGTTACGGGTTATGGCCCTTAATGACAGCCCTGGATACTCCATATGACATAACCATGGCAGTTTTAAGACTAAGGAGACCACGTCTCATTGTTAAAAATGTAAGACTTTGTAATGCCAAAGCTACTTTACACTTATAATGCTGTTTCCTTTAACACTCTTTATTAGATCAAAGGTATACGTCTACTAGTGAAGTGGTTGAGGGGCCGGGAAGTCAACCACAAGCCTTCAGCTCAGCCAGTGCTCAGATTGTTAGACAGTGTGCTTGCTCATAAAGGGGATCTGCAACAGCAGGAATGTGTAAGGTAGATGCTTGCTTGTAATTTGCATTAGTTGTCATGGAATGTGTGAAAAATGACAGGAGAAAATGTACAGTTTTTGGATTGCATATAGCCTTGAAACAAAGTCAAGCAATCTTTGTCTTGTTCTAAGTCAAACCCTTGCTATTACAGTGTAACGAAGTGAAGAGGACTAATTGTAGCCGACTCAATTTTCTTCTCATTTAAGTTCGGCTGATTGTTCAAGACTTCGTCTAGCTGCAGCTTGTGGAATCATCAAGATTACTCAAGAACCTCATTATATTGAGTGTATAACGCTGGAGAACTTTCGGCAACTCTCACTGGTTTTGCAAGTAAGGTGATGCAAGAGTATGATGTTTTGAACTGTGTATAATAAGACCCTTAGTGATATCTCACGTAATTGTGACAAGATAAGGTAAATGCTGTTTTGCTTTAGAGAAAGAGCTGAAGAATTTTTTATCTCATTCAAGGCATGCTTGTGCGAGCAGCTGTACCAGATGCGAAGTTATCGACCTGTAGTTTGGTTTGTTTGTGACGCATGATGTTATCTGATGTATCTTTGAAGTAAGACTTGAATGTTCAATTGAATGCAATTGATGTGTCTATGAAAACAAACGGCATTTTGAAAAGATTACAGTCAACCAAGTGCTGACTTATGATAATGAACAGTGACATGTACACTGAAATCTCTCCCTTGAATTGACCAAATTTGATATATTGAAATTCAGCCTAAAAACAATAGACTTCAGTACGAGGCTCTGGGGAATAACTACAGAGTTAGAGGAGTTTATTCCCCAGAGCCTCGTGCTAACGTCTATTGTGTTAGGCTGAATTTTAATATATCAAAATTGGTCTGATGACGATGCCTTTTATTACTCCGTCTCGGAGCATAGGCCACAGATAAAGCGCCTCCACCCTCCTCTGTCTCTGGCCATCTGTTCAATCTGATTCCAGGTGTAGCCTTTTAACTGGATGGTCCTTTCTGTGTCTCTTTTCCAGGTGTTTRGTGGTCTTCCTCTCCGTCTACTTCCCTGGGGGTTCCAGCCCAGTGCTTGTCGGGCTATGCAGGTGTTTGATCTCCTAAGTATATGTCCGATCCATGTCCACTTTCTTTTCTTCATACGTTCAGATGAACCTCTTCCTACAGGACAGCGGATGTGTGTTTGGTGCTTCTGTGTTTCTGTAACAATATAATTTTTACTAGGTGGGGTTGTTAACCCCACGCTAAACCCCCAGACTTGGAGGACCAGTGTATTTTCTGTTAGGGTTTTTTTCCCTTAGCCATAGGTTCCGGCTAATAAGGCGCCGGAGTCTCGCCTCTCACCATTGCCACTCAGCTGTAGCACTAAGTGCTACATTTCCAGGGTTACGGCGAGGACGTGTGGCATCTGATTTGCTGGCAGAGCCTTTAGAAACGGTGGGCATTTCTCAGCATTTTTGAAGCGTACCTGATGGCACCAGCACGCTCCGCTGAGACCCCTTACCAGCCTTCAACCCCATCAAAATTGGTCTATCGAGTAGTTAAGTTGAGGACAGCTGGTCTGACTGAGAAGAATCCCAACGGGAACAGAGTCAAGTAATTACCTAGTGTCTTAGACACAATTTTTTTTTAACCTCTGTAACTGATTTAGCACAAGTGCTTACGGAGCCAAACATTCAAAAATAAACACATATTTCAAATTTAACATTACAAGGTTCAAAATCCCAACTGACAGGAGGTAGACCACTTGACTATGTTCAAAAACCAACTGAGGAGGTGAACTTACAGGTTTGTCCACTATCAAAAAGCGTCAACCAGTGGTCAGAATTGCCTGGACTGGCTGAGACCTGTGACCTACAAATTGTTATTTCTGTTCTCTGGTGCACATTGTGAGCTTTTGGTTCTAAGTTGGTAATTTTATAAAGGTGGATTAGACAAAGGAATAACTTCAGTTTCTTTGGGGTACATTTCTGTGTGCTGTGTAT